CCATGATGTTCCATGACTGTTCACTCTGTTCAGTCTCCTTACGACTCTTACAGCTCGCGAACCGGGCGAGGCTTCGGTGACATAGGCAATTACCACGTTCCGCTGCTCAGAGCTGGTGACTCTTCATGTCTGTAGCGTGCTCCCAGTGGCGCCGACTTAACAACCTGGCACACAACTCTCAGACGAGGTGCACGTGTGTGGTGGGCGCTGTGCGACGGTCCAGTCGAGCGATGAGCCAAGGCATTGCAGAACCTTCCGTTGCGCGATACAGACTAGTCCTATCATATAGGCCAGAGGACGCACAGGCAGCTGCATGATGAAAAACCTGCAGCGCCCGGGCAAATCTGCCCAAGTCCTCAATTCTGCCGGGTAACTCGCCGTACCAGAATGCACTTTCGACCTCATTTTTCAACGGCAGAATTCAGATGATGTTTGGGCTCTCGACAGAGCTCTGGGTGAAACAGTTCACCAGAAGACGCTGAACCAGGATGGTCCTCGGCCCCTTTAATTTTGACTCTTGCATTGCATGTGCCAGCCGGGCAGACAAATCTTAAACCCCACGAAAACGATGCTTTGAGACCATCATGGCCGCTGACCGCAGCAGGACAGTCCATTCTTCAATGCCCTTCATGGTCACTGCAGCATGAGCTTCAGCTTCCTGTCACTGTCCATACCGCCAGCAACAATCACACCCTCCACATCGCGCATGGCTTATTGGACCGTATTGGAACCAACGACCGTTACAGATCTCGGAAGGGACCCGTTTCATTACATACTTCGGTCAGAGCACCGATGCGGCTTTCCCGTTAGCCAGGCACCTCTGAATGGCGAATTCCCTGTCTTTGGAAATCAGCTCTTCAGGCATCCGTTGCCTAGTCCAGAGTGACGCTCGGGGTCAAGTGCAAAGGATGTGAGGAAAATGTCGAAGCTTCTTCGGCAAACGCCCTCTCCAAGGCACGGTGCTTGCCCTTTGCATAATTGCGGCTTTGCATGATCAACATTGCACAGCCCCACTCAACTCACCAGTGCTACTGAACAGCTGCCTGGCCTATCCCCCCAGCAAACCGTCGTGTGCAGGATGGAACATGAAGCTACTCCCATGTGCAGCTTGGCGGCGGGTGGCCGCAGCCCCGCAGAGAAAAGCAGCGGCCAGGACCGCTGGGCAGTGTGAGAGCACTCTGAACCTGGAGAGTCACATGGACGGAAGACTCGGGAGGCTGTCTTCCGCAGACCATGCCGCGGGACCTTTCTCTCCGAGGCCGATGTTGTCACCCTGCACAATGGCCACACAGCGAGTGTCAAGGTCGAAAACATGGGCCAAATTCCTTAGCGGGCTGTGCTGACCGAGCATGGCTGGGCAGCCCTGTCGAATGACGCAGAGTGGCACAAGAACTCCCGCCAATTGTTCCAACTCACGTGGAGAAGCTTCCTCGGGCCGCAGGCCAAATGCTCTCTCTCGCTGCCTCCCTGCAAGTCTCTTCCGCTTGCCTTCTAGTTCGAGATGTCGGTGCTCTACCCTCCTCTCTTGAACGCCGCGGGCGAGGGTCGTAGCGGCCCTCGGCGCTGAGCGCAGCGAAGCGTGCGCTTGGCGGCTCGGACTCAAAGATGGCGACGGAGCAACGCCTGGTGGGGCCGTGGCCAACCCGAGCATCTGCGTACCCTGGCTTATTACACCATGCCGCCACCGGCCTCCCAGATGCAGCGCAGAGTGCCCGAACCTGTGGTTGCCGAAAACAATCCAGAGCATGGGGGCTAGAACTCACATCAATGCTCGCCACGCCAATCTCAACAGTGCTGCACTCTCTTCTGCAAGTATCTGCTGCGACGATCCATCATAGCGTATACAATCCCGAGCATCACGTTGCTGAACGTTAAGGCACCCACGATGGTAGGCAATAACAGAGAGATTTCGGAGTGAGTTGGGAGTGCATTGGGAGTGAGGAGTGACTGGGGAGGGGTTTGGGCAGGAGTGACTTGGGAAGGATTTAGGAGCGATTTAGGAGTGAGTGTAAGTGATTGGGGAGTGATCCTGGCATGAACTCCTGACAAGCCGCGACTCTCACTCCTGACCGGTCAGCGGCAGGCAACCACTGGAAAGTGTTGAAAAATATTTTTTGATTTTTTAAAGTGATTTCAAATTTACTTGTAAAAGTGATTACAAAAATCTGGGTCCCGGAAAACTGATTTCAAGTGTCCTGAGACATGTTTAAAATTGATTGGAAAGTGAACAGTGCAAGTTGGGCGGGCGAAAAGTGAAATCAAACTGATCGGACACCGTTCGAAAAAGTGAAGCACAAGCGATTTCAATATGATTTGAGGCTTGCAAAACCGTCTTGAAAGTGATTTGGTGTGTCAAAAGCGCTTTCAATACTGACTGAGGTACACACGAGCTGTCCAATGGTTTTCCCTCTCTCGAGGGTTCACCAAAGTCACTATAGTCAAAAGAGTCACTGAAGCACGCCTTAATGAATCCGCTAACCGTCAAAGGTATGCAAACCCTAGGAGATCCAATTTCACGGGCACTGTGCTGAGCCTGTTGCAAGCCTTCAACCTATACTGCCTTCCCTTCGGGAGCTGCAGCCTCCTCTACCGCCTCTTCTTCGGGAGCTGCAGCTTCCTTGTTGACAACAACGTGGGCAGTCACTCGCCGCAGTTGCTCCTCTGTGGCAGGCTCCGTCTGCTGACTCGCGGTGTCTTCAGGCGGCGTTGGCGTTGGAGACCACAGTGGTGTGCGAACGGCTCCGCCTACTTCTGACGAAGTAGCATATTACTCTATATCCTGTGTGGTGAAAGGCCTCGGCGCATTCAGGGGCCTCCGACTCTCCTCGGGAGTCTTCGTCGTCTGCCCTGTACAGACAACACCTGCACATGCAGCCCCATGTCATGGAGCCTCCGTCGTTTGTACTCTGGGGGAACCTGGCTTTTTCACAAATCTCTCGGACATTGCAGCTTGCTGCCATTAGTAGGCTTTCACGCCAAATGAAAGGTGACCCTTCTGCCGTTCAGCTCTCAGATGCCTCGCCAGCTCGTCGGAGCCGCCGGCCAGGCAGTGCAGCACAGCGCACGGAGCGGGCAGGCAGCGGCGGAGAGACCAGGGCACCCTGAGCTTCAGAGCGATTGGGGGCCTGGGGCCTAGGGACAGGGCACAGGTAATCACAGGCACCTGCGTAGTTTCAACCGGCCCTCCAAGCCTGCATGATACGTCGCAACACATAAGACGTCCCTGTACGGTGTGAGACATGCAGCGCCGGGTACGAGTACTTATCATGGTAAACATCTTAATTATTATGGTGGCCATCTGCTGTGTCCAGATTCATCAACTGTGATAACGAGGCAAGTCAACTTGCTCTTGTCTTGGCATTAGGTATGTTTCACAGCCGCGTTACGTCTTGCCCCTCATCATCTGACGCAGTGCGCTGCGCAAATCCGAGGCGGCGCATCAGTGACACTGCCTCGCAACGGAGACTTTTGAATCTTGCATGCATTGCTGCGAGCATTTGTGGAATAAGCCGAATGTCCCTGAAGGTGATGCCACGCAGTCGCACCAGCGAAATTCAGCAGGCACAGAGCAGTTACGACTCATAACCCTGCCAACCTCCGCAGCTGCAGCCACAGCGTCGCCTTCGGATGCCTTTGCCAAGGCTCATGACCCGGGTGTAGATCCTCATGCTTAGAGAACCTTATCTGAACGACTCTTTATACTTCGAGGCTTCATTTGCTTCACACCTTTACATCGGCATTTTCATGCCTTCCTGCCTCCGGCGCGGAACCGGCCGCCCCAAGCCCTTGGAGGAGCTCCTCTCACAGCTATTTACATGGCACCTGTAGAACCACTACAAATTGTATCGTGCTGGGTCCCTAGAAACTTGTGTCCAGCACAGGACTGCACGGGTTGCGATCACACGCTTGCAGCCCAAGCTCCTCTGGCAAGCCGAGCCTCACTGAGTGCCCGGGTCAGGCTAGTGTAACTCTGACGATTGAAACTAGTGCCCTCGTGGAGAAAGCTAGAATCGACGGTCTCAGCCCATTTGCGAGTATCTCGGTTGGCTAACCAAGCCGCACGGTGAACCGCAAGAGTGCACATGAAGTCTAAGTGGCTCGTTGACCGAAGCACCTGGGCGAAGATCCACTTCGCGGCCCGTGCCGAAGCCACCTGCCCTGGGCTGCTCTCCACATGCACCGGCAATCAGGATGGCAGAGCAATCGGTGTAGGCTTGAACGATGCATCGAAGACATTTTACAGAGCTTTGGAGAAGATAGCCGTTGTTGCCTTGGCGGTTGACCCGATGGTACTGCCCAGAGTACTGCCCTATGGATTCCTGTGAAAGCTCCTCTCCGGGTTCTGTGAAATCTTCTGCACTGTACAACAACGATGGCGGGCTCACTTTTAAGATGGGGCGGAGGCCGATCACTTGTGGTTAACTACCTGCCGATTTGTGAGAAACTTCGGCCCACCGCCGTGCTGAATGAGAGGCTCTTTGAACGGGAGCATGGCACCGCAACCACGAGTGCACAATTACCATGGACGGACGTAGGATCCAAGCGTGATCTCATGAGCTCGAGGGATTCCCAGTACAGGTGAAGAGGATGCCACGAGACGCAGGCTCGCCTGTTTGTAGTGCTCCGCTTGCCATAGTTGATGCGTCGCATGATGCCTTCTCTCAAAGCGGCGCCATCCACAACCTCCGGGCTGTGGCATTGACGCAGACGCAGCAAATTGTTTTTCTGCATCTTTCCCACATCTCCCCACCTCACGTACGCCCAAAGACTCCACGAAGAGGCTCTTCAACTCCGGAGGATACACCTGGGAAGGGAACAAACGAGATGCTTTGGGAGCTGATGGGGAGTCCAAATTGCATCTGCGAGCGAATGTGGGTGAATGCTCGTTGCGTGTCCAAGGCACGCCACTTAAGGCCCATGCAGCAGCAGGCGAGTCTGCCAAGTCAGGTGCTACCTCCCAGAAGCACTCACCTGAGCTCGGGTTGTGAGTGTTGGACGTTCTGCGTTGCACCTCCTCCACGTGTCAGCTGAAAACTTCTGCAAAATTTTGGGCATCTTGAAGCCTGCAGCCAGGCTGCAAACAGAGAGCTTTCGGAACAGTGCCCCATCATGGTATCGTGCTACCTATGCAGCACAGGTATCACCACATGCTTGTACGCCAAAAGATGACAAAAGTGACCGTCAGTGCACAAGTGCAAACAGTCGGTCAACGCACCTCCAACATAGAAGAGGTTTGTGGCGGCCCGCCCTCTGGGCATGGTAATGGCATCACCTTTGCTAACTGTCGGTTCCGAACCAGAGAACAGCTATGGACGATGGCCAATGGCTCGCATCGATCTTGATATTGCTATAGTTTTCCCAGTGGCCGCCGCCACTTCAACTTCTGAGAAAGGCTGCAGCGCATGCCGTTCTGCTTCATCCAGGACTGACATGCCTCTGACAGCTTGGAAGTATCGAGAAAATATGACAAAACAACACGCACATGTGGTAGATGCGACACTCTGGCTATTACGAGTACAGGGTCGGCTAATTTGGAAACGGCTTCACATACTTGTAGCAATGGCGAGTCCCAATTAGGACCAAGTGGACGCTACGCTGGGCTGCCTACATACTTTCAAGGTTGATCACAGTGTTGCCTAGATAGAACCGCCCTCGCGGCCTCTGTACACAAACAGCAATGCTTCCCAGATCTGCGCCAAGAAGTCGGCGGCACCTTTTGGGCGGATTTGCGCATGACTTCGGTAGAGTTTGAGGCCAAATTACGCTGGGCAAAAAGTCGTCAAGACTGCATAAGACCGTCTGTCTTCATGCTGCGTATACCCCGGCAAGATTGCATGATGTCAAAGCATTCCGTCATGCGAAACACGCATGCCCGAATTCGAAGCCGATGCCAACGACAAGCCACGCATCTTGGAGATGCCCGATTTGGTGGATCCCGGCAGGGGCACCTGGGACGACCAGAGCGCACCCAACCCTAACTTCAGAGCTCAGCAGCATACTCTGCACAAGTCGGGCTTGGCCTGGACAAGTTCCGGCTCGCCCTCCGCGCTGCGCCAAGCTTTGCCGAGCTCCTGCAGTGTGGTGAGGTTGGAACGGCGTTTCCTCTTCAGGCTCTGGTTGCTTGGAGCAAGATCCTCAGCTGCAAGCAGGAGGTTCTGCCGAATTTTCATGTACGCCTGACAGATACGTCGCCCCGCAGGGAACACTCACGAATAGTGGGTGGCAAAGCCTCCGCAGAATCTGGAGCTGTCGGAACTCCCCGTGCCGCAAAGTAGCGCTTCAGCTGCACCTGCCAGAAGCAAGGGCCGGCTCAGAGCAGGACGGTCGCCGAGGCACCTCCCCGTGACCCTTGTACACTTCGCCCAGGACCAGAAGATCACAGCACCTCAGTGAGAGACGACAGAAACCAGTGACAGCCTGGGCGAAGTCGCAGCCGAAGCGCTGAGCCACCAGGGCATTCTGAGGCAGCTCCCATACACACCTCACAGAGTCTCCTCTTGCCCTGCGATGCCCTCATCAGAACCACGAGGTGGGCCCGCCGGCCTCTCGGCCTTCACTGCACGCTCCTCTTCCTGGAAGCCGGCCAAGCATATGTTGCACGACACTGCTACGGCTGCAGTCCTGGACATTTATTGCGGCGCAGCTTCTTGCAACAAAGATGCTGGGTGGAAGATGCATCGTCGGAGCAATTGCTCAGTCTGCTCGCTATGAGATTTGCCTGTGGCGTGGCCGAAGAAAGCCAAACTCATGACTCAGATGATGTCCCAGCCTGTACCGGACGTAGTCTCCAAGGTATCCACCACAGTGTAAACACGGGCAAATGTCTCAGCCAGCCGGCACTGTCCTACAACCAGCCGCAGTCAGGCTGCAGGACTCGAAAGCAGTGCCAACAGGATCTCTTATTGCCGTTCCGCCCTTCTTTTTCTCTCTGCTTCTGGGCTAATTACAGGCAACAGGTTTCCACTGGTGCTGGGGCAGAGGACATCGTCTCTTGCAGGGCCATTCTTAGCAATAGACCATGCGAACAACTTTGCGTGGTCAAGTGCCACGAAAAACGAGATTGGCAACTTGGCAACTGTGTCTTATAACTACACGTCCCCGAAGATTTTGGCTCCCGCATAGCAGTGTCCCCGAAGATTGCGACAAGCCGTGGCCGGCTTTTTCAGTACATCCGCGACCCAAAAAAAGGATGCGCGCACAGACACGCACAGACAGTCAGACGGACAGGACAGACAGCACAGACAGGAGCGACAGGACAGACGTGCAGGACAGGGACAGGGACGGGACAAGGACCGGGACTAGGACAGACAGCCAGGCAGGCAGACAGACAGGCAGGCAGACAGGCAGCAGGCAGACAGACAGGCAGGACAGGACAGACAGGGCAGACAGGACAAAGAGGCAGACGGCACACACAAACAGTACAGACGGACAGGCACAGGACAGACAGGACAGACAAGACAGGCAGGTAGCAGTCAAGCAGGCAAGCAGGCAGGCAGACAGACAGGAGACAGGTAGGACAGGCAGCAAGCAGGCAGGAGACAGGACAGACAGGACAGACAGGCAGACAGGACAGACAGAGAGGACAGGCGACAGGACAGACAGGATAAACCAGACAGGACAAATAAACAGGACAGAGGGACAGGACAGACAGGACAGGCAGGCAAGAAGGTGCTCTTTCTTCTTCTGATGCGTGGGATTGGTTGGCTAAGCCGTCCAAACAGCGATGGCGCGGGCGATGACCCACGGCATATATACGACCTTCTCACTTCCTCGCTTGTTCTCTCTTCACCAGACGGCCGGCGTCCTCGGAGAAGCGCCTCCAAAGCTGCTGTCAGGCCTGGCGACGTGTGGCGAGTACGAACCAGCTATTCTGCAACGGAAGCCGGCGACATCATGGAGGGCGTCACAGGACATGTTTCGACGTGAGTCTCGCTTGCCGCTTGCCGGAAACCATGCCTGGGACATCCAGCTGCGCCTCGGCATTGGCCCACCACAAATCACATCGCAAAGATCCCAAGCTGACCTTCGGTCACTGGAATTCAGGCTGGGCGACTCTTGCCCCGAGCCCGGCAAGGCAATGCCGCAGCTCAGACCCGCGGCCCGTCGGTAGAGCCAGACGGAGGTAGACGCCATTCCTTGCGTTTGTGGGTGAGGTGTATGCGCCAGCAGATGCCTCACCTTTCGCTGGGACGACTGTGCCCAAATCAAATCGATCAGAGGGATGTGAGACGGCGAGGTCAAGCCCGCAAACTTTGCGGCAATGCTTTGTCGAGCCAAGGCTCAGCGCTGCGCCGGCCACTGGCCAGTATTCCTGGGTCTGCGGAAGTTTGCCGAAGCAAGCGCATGCCCGGTCATAAACAAGCAACGTCCCAGAAATGCTCTGCACCTTCGGCCGAGGATCCGAGTGCCTTGCAGCACTGTCTTGTGCAGTACATGGCAACACAACGAGGCATGGCATGGCAGGCTCGGTGACTCGAAATCGACACTACAAAGCCCAGCCACCCAGCCTTTCCCCTGGCACTAAGTGCTGCAAGGGACAAGAAGAGCTCGCGAACCCGGCGAGTGGCACGTGCAGGAAGCTCAGAAAACCATGCCCGGTCAGTAGGGTTAGTCAGGCGCCGGCAAGCATAACCTCGGTCAGCTGATTTTGACGCAGGTGATGCTTAAAAGCGGCACGCCTTCTGTTGAAAATCATACACTGAGCGGGCAAGGCCAACACAAGCTGCAGCGACTTTGCAACCTGGCAGCGAAACACTGGTTCCGACGTTGCCTGGCGGAGGCTCACACTAGCTTTGCAAATACATCACTCGGCCAAAGAAGCCGCCGCAGTTCTTGGGTCTTGCTAAACTGTCTCGGGCTTGGCAGCTGCTCCCAAATGCACTTCTGCACAACAGGAATCCTTCCCGCCTTTTCCTCCAGCAAACAACCCCAAAGGCTGTGGGCATCATCTCCACCTGGGCCAATGTTGCAACTCCGTGTGCCCCCGAGCTTGGACTAGCCCACGTTATGAAGTTCCCAACCCGAACGCAGGCGAACACGGACTGACTTCTTCTTGGACATGGTTTTCCACCAAGAGGCCGATCTTGATGCCCATCTCCAGGGACAGAAACGGCGCAGCTCGCTCCTTCCGCTGGCACCGCAGAACCAAAGCATCCGAAAAGCCAAAAACAGCTTCCCCGCAAGACTTCCCTCCTGTGCAGGGTCCGCAGGCCGCCGCGGCTGCGCACCTCATGTCTCTGGTAACTGCATCGCGACAGCTTGAGAATCCACACTGGAGCCTAGGCAGTCCACGAAGAAAGCCTCCCACTTCAATGCCTGTGCTGTGCCGATGTAAGGAGCAAGTTAAGAGCATGGGGCAAGGCCGGGTCAGGCCGACTGTGCCTCCAGCCATCGCTGGGGCTCATCCTGGCCTTCTTCTAAAGGCCACGGCTGGAGTGACCGGGAAGACCTCAGGACCCGTCGCACAGACGCGGGGGCACCCACATGCCAAGCCTGCAAGCTTTGAGTCGGAGCCACGGGCAGGCCAGCAGCGAACCTTCGCCACAATCTGCCCCCAGGAAGGCCTCGATCCGCTCGATCAGGTCCTGGCCGCAGCGCAGGCCGCAGGGCTTGGGCACATGCGTGAGTGACGTGCTTGCGCTCACGTATGTGACGAGACGAGCCGCGCTCGGCAGCTGGCGATGGACGCCCAGAACCGACCTGCAGAGTCTGTTGCGAGACATGCCGAAGCTCGCAGAATCCAAGGAGGAGTTTGCTTCCAAACTAGAACTCAGACGCTCAAGCCGTTCCCACCGGTCAACCTGTCCGATCCTGTCTCGGCAAACTCCGACGTTTACACATCCATTGACAATCTTATGTGGGGCTGTGCTGATGGGGTAAGATGACTGAGATACAGATGCGCAAGGGCTGGACAGCAGTCTTAGTGCAAGGACTTTGTACGGTCGGGACTGAAACACCTTTCATCACGCTTTCCAGAGTCCCAGAGATCTTGCGCCCAGGCATGCAGCGAAGGGAAGGTGGAGGACGCAGTGCGCCGCACAGAGCCGGCGCCACAAGCAGGCTGCCCAGCGCCTGCTTGCAAGAAGGGTTTGGGAACACTCCTGGATTCATCTGCGTTTTGGAGCCCAACTCAAGCTTGGCGCGGGGCTTTCGTTGTAAGCAGAGCTTCTGCAGCTTCCTTGCTCTCGCAGACCCGGAGATTGGTCAGGGCGTCGGTGACAGCTGCGGTGCCTCGGGGAAGGTCTCTGGCGTCAGGCGATAGGCGTTGCAGGTAGGCTGCCTTTATCGTCTCCTTTGGCCCAGAGGTCTCGCAACACCGCCAAAGCCTTGGAAAGCGACAGGCTCCGAAGATGCTCTGAGTCTTCGCAGCTGAGGCCACGTCAGCCCACGACGCATAAATGGCTGGTGGAGAAGGCCGTGCCTTGGCTTCGGCTTTGGAAACAACTCAAGGATGCACACTAAGCGTGTCTTGTTCTTGTTCGGTATGCTTTTTTTGTTTCTTGCATGTTCGGAACACACAAGATACACGGCGCCACGTTTGCACTGCTTCGGCAGGCTCCTTTGTAAGTCACACTTTTTTGTTCGGAGCGCGGCGGCCCGAGCAACAGATACACACATGGCGCAAGTTGTGTTTTGGTTCGATATGCTGTGGCGAGCGCGAACACACAGTGCGCGGCGGCGCGAGCAACCAGGAAAAAAAAACAAACAACCGAGACACATCTTTCCGTAAGAACAGGATACGAGAAAGCGCGAGTGATTGAGGGACACGAATGAAGAAGTGCTAAAATGGCCCCTCGTCACACCTTGCGACAACGTGGCACGACGATAAGGAGCCAGATAGCAATCGGGATGGCGAGAGCCGAATGTCTGCATGTCTGCATGCCTGGATATCTGTATGTCGTGTGTGGCGGGCCGAGGAAATTCGCTCAGTTGCCTGTCGCACGTAACTGCACGGCGGGCCGAGCAAAGAAAACACACTTCCAGTGATGCACCCCGACAAAGAACAGAGAACAGCCCATCAAGGATCGGTCCCAAAGGGGATTCGGCAATCGACGCAAGGCGTCCGTGGACAGGTTCATGCCGAGCTTCGCCCGGGACAGCTTTCATTAAAACCTCACAGCATCAGCGTCCACACAGCATCTTTTGATCGCATGACGTCGCATGGACGAGCGTGGCCAGAGCGTGGCCTCCAGGGCCGCCTCTGCCAGCCGACCTGCTCCTGGCGGCTCCACGCCCAGGGATGAAAGCCTGAGCAAAGCACTGAATTGTGGAAATGGTGTGCTCAATGGCTCCAGCATGCTTCCGGCCTTTCCTCTCCTCGCTACTCTTGTCTAGGTCTGTGGTGGCACTGAAGTCACTCACACCACAGGGCAGCGAGGGGCATCCTGACGAAGTCAGCTAGGTCTCGAGAATGCGGGGCTTGTTTGCAGATAAGCTTCAGTTGTGAGCCCAGGCCGTCCAAGGCAGACGAAATTTCCAGTGGCCTGGACAACTTGGGGACCGTTTCTAAACACGCTCCTAAGCGCTTGTTTTTGCCCACACGAAGCATGCCGAGGTGCAGCAATCGCAGTGCTCCATTCGCTGTCGCCAGCACTTTTTGCCATCGCTCCTCGGCTCAACATGAAACGTTACACACTTTGAGGCTTTCGACTTATTGTGGGAATGTGGTGTGAAGTGAAGCAATCCCTCAGCACAAGGCTTCTTAGCAGCTGAGCCTCCGAGAGCTCTCCGCAAAGACCCAGGAAGACAGCTCCGTCGCCTCGGCTCCCGTCTCAGCCTCTCACCGCCAGGGTCCCAAAATTGCGAACAAGACACATAGGCGAGCCGTTGTTTGCACATCTGGCCTGTCGGAAACAAGGTTGCAATGTGGGGGCACAACAGGCCCTGCCGACGCTGCCGCTAGGCTTTACCGCTTGACCGCGACGGATGAAGTTGGTGGATGCGGCATGACTTTGTCAGCCTTGTGCCGGCCAGCCTTCCCGGCTCGGCTGCCGTCTCTTTCAGGAGTGGGAAGAGCGGCAAGGAGGGCAGTTCCAGCATGAGCGCCACGGCCTGCCCGCTGCCCCATACGAAGGGCTAGGAAAACCAAAGTAAATACCTTCAATATTAACACCTCGGCACCGGCATCGCTGCCATCAGCTGGGCGAACCACAGCACCAAGGACGTTGTACCTCGTTTAAAGGTCAGTTCTTAAAGATGCCATTAGCTTGTTATTTTGGGGAAGGGAACTCTATGGAACTTTCCAGCCGTTGTACATGTCAAAGATTATCGCACACAACTGTTTCCGTGTCGTGATTGGCTGGCAGGCAAAAAGCGTTCCAACTCCATTAGCAAAAAAGCGTTCCAACTCCATTTTTTCCCACCCGCCCAGCTGACAAGTCGCACCGCAGGGATGACATTAGAGTTCGAACTCCGGAGAAAAGACTCTTGTGGGCCTCCAAGGAAAATGCAGTCTCCCTAGTGACAAGACAACCGCAACTAGCAACCGTAGGCAAGGGGGA